CTGAAGCAAGGAAGAGCGGCGGGGGGGGGGGGGGGGGGGAGAGGGGCAGTGCGGTAGGGGAAGAGACGGTAAAAAGGAACCGACTTGTCAAACGTGACGTACTGAGAGGGGAGGACACGGCGCGAGGTGGGGTGGTAAAACTGCCAGCCACGCGCTTCAAGGGGAAAGCCATGGAAGACGCAGAGAATAGCGCGGGAGGAGAGCTTCTCCGCAGACACCGACACATTGCCAACCTTCCCCGTCCAACGCTGTGTAGGGGAGGTCTCCGGCAAGGAGACACGGGGCCAGAGGTTGAGCTGATGCGCAGCGTACCGGACCGCAAACGGCCACAGAAAATGGGGAGCAGCCGCATGGATCATGGAGGTACGAGCCACCTCCATGACTAAGCCAATGCGGCGCTCAGCAATCCCATTTTGCTGCGGGGAGGCCGGAAGCGTGAACGACTGGAGGATGCCCTCCCCACGACAAAAGTCCCGCAAGAGGTCGGAGGAGAACTCACCACCTCTGTCAGAGTGAAGACGCAGGACAGGACGGTCCTGGCGGAACCGCTCGCGTAGCTGGAGACGGACTGCGCGGATCCAAGGGATCAAGACATCAGAGACCTCACCCTTGCTGTGCAAGGGGAAGACCGTGGTGTAACGCGTGTAGTCGTCAACAACCAGCAAAAGTAGCGCTCGCGGCCCTGTCCACTGACGCGGGCTGGGCCCCACACGTCCATGTGGAGAGTCTGCAGGGGAGTAGTCGTCGGGGGAAACGAGGAGGAGTGAGGAGCGGCGCGCTGCCGCCCCTCGACACAAGGAAGGTAGGGCGGGGCAGGCGAGGGCGGGAGGGGAGGCAGAGACCTGGGAAGACCAGAAACGAGGAGGCAGGAATGCATGCCACGAAGGTGTGGCAGGGAGGGGTGACCAAGGCGGTGGTGCCACAGGAGATTCTGGTGCGACAGGAGGCGACACGAGCAGGGGAGTGCTATCGGACCTGACGCGGACACCTGGGTAGACGCAGCTACCTGAGGAGGCTCAGTAGTTAGTGTGTACAGACTGGACCCAGGCCGACGGGTGAACGTGGCCAGGTGACGGCCCGTCCGTGTGCACGTGCAGATCGACACACGCTGACCCCCAGGAGTGGTGGTAGTGACCATCGCATACTGGAGGGCAGCGGTACTCACCAAGTTCGTAGAGAACGAGGGGAGGTGAAGACTTGAGAGTGAACTGGACGGAACCGCCGGACACGGGAGAACAGTGGAGGAACGAGCAAGAATTGGGCCCCCTGAGGGGTCAGCTAGTGTGACCGGAACAGGTGCAGGGAGTGGAGTGAGGGTGGTACTGTCGCGAAAGAAACAGCGGGAAGCACCTGATTTAAGTGTAAAGGTGTGCAATGCCTCAACAGGCGCAGTACCAGGGAGAGAAGACTCACTAGCACCTAGAGCAGCAGCCTCTATACCTGGGTCGAGCGGCACAAACCGGTAATAGTCACCCTCAGCACTAACAGACAAGGCATACATGGCAGCAAGGATAGCATCATAGTCAAGATCAAATATATCAACTCCAGACCTAAGCAGCTCTGCCCAGCGGGGGCGCTCAGCCTCGTCACCAAACTCTGCGCGCCAAGCGTCGTCTAGGCGGGAGAAGCAGCGGTGCTGAGAGTGAGGCTTCTCGCATGTCTGACCAGCACGGTCACCCGTGCGAATGACATACGGGCAGCTAACACTACCCCCAGATGCCCCACGCTGAGGAAACCACTCACGAAGCTGCTGGGGCGAAGGGGTCTCGCTCCGACGCTGCTGCTGCTGCCTCTGGCCACCGCCAGAACCTCCCCGCTGAACAGCTCCACCCCGACTGCCAGCACTGCTACTTCCGCCACTACCGCCACCCCTACCGCTGCCACCACCGCCGCTACCGAAGCCCCCACTCCCGCCACCACTCCCACCGCTGCCACCACCTCCACTACTTCCAGCACCTCCACTGCTGCCACCACCACCACCACCCCCGCTGCCACTGCCACCACTCCTGCCACCCTTGCCCTTGCTGCTGCTGTGCTTCCCACTAAGAGCAGAAGCAGCCCCGACATCCGCAGTACCAAGGATGTCAATAGCAGCAGCAGAGGCGTAGGAGGGGGCAAGGGGGGAGGGGGAACACCCCTCAAAGAAGGGCGTGCGAGGAGTGCCACGAGCGGCACCTACAACGACTACGCTAGTCTCAGCTGCAAGGAGGTGCTGCTCGAGCAGGTCAACAGTGAGGTCTGTGGGGTCAAGTGCGAGAAAGTGGTATTTGACAGCGCGAAGAGAGTCAGGGAGGTGGGTGACTATGAAGTAGAGAGTGATGTACATTGGGGGCGGGTTCCTGTCAAGGAACTCTGCTGGGAGGGCAGCGCGGTAGCGAGCGTCGCTATTGTGAAGGTGGGTAACGAGGTCCTCTACTGTGGCAAAGGCGGATAGCTCGGGAAACAGGTTGGGCAGTAGAAGACGGCCTAGAGCAGAAGTGGCAGGGGAGGAGTATCGAGCGACTACAGCATCGTACACTGCTTTAGCAGTCTTGTGCTGTCCAAAGTGAGCTCGTTCGGCTAACGGAATGTGGTTGCGAACGGCTAAGCGAGCAGCAGCGTCACGGGTAAGCCAGTGTGAGCAAGTCGCACTGTCAGCTGTGGCGGGAGGGGCGAGAGAGGCTCCAGACGTGTGGTCAAACAACGAAACGCTGTCTCTAGAATCGCTCAGTAGGTACAGCTGTAAGTCGTCGAGCCACGTATCGAACTGTATCGGACGGCCCTTATGATCAAATGTGAGTACACTGAGAGAAGCCATAGCAGGCAGAGCAGGGCGGCGTGCGGCAAGCAGAGCAGCGCGCAGAGCAAGGTAGGGCAGAGCACGGCTAGGGCGGCCAGAGGGGCGGCGCACAGCAGGGGCGGTTGTAGGGGCAGGCAGTAGGGGGCGGCTGCAGGGACAGCAAGGGCGGCCAGAGGGGCGGCGCACAGCAGGGGCGGGCTGCCAGAGGGCGGCGAGCGGGCTGCAAGGGGCGGCTAGCGGGCCGCAAGGCACGACGAGCGGGCTGCAAGGGGCGGCAAGCGGGCCGCAAGGGGCGGCGAGTGGGCTGCAAGGAGCGGCAAGCGGGCCGCAAGGGGCGGCGAGCGGGCTGCAAGGGGCAGTGCGCAGGCTGCAAGAGGGCAGTGTGCGGGCTGCAAGGGGCGGCGAGCGGGCCGCAAGCGAGCGGCGAGCGGGCCGCAAGCGGGCGGCGAGCGGGCGGCAAGGGCGGCGAGCGGGCCTTAAGGGTGGTGAGCGGGCCGAAGGGCAGCAAGTGGGCCGCAGGCGGGCGGCTAGGGGCGGCGCGCGGGCCGCAAGCGAGCGGCGAGCGGGCTGCAGGGGCGGCGAGCGGGCCGCAAGCGGGCAGCGAGCTGTCTGCAGAAGTGGCGCGCGGGCTGCAGGGGCGGCACGCTGGCTGCAGGGGCGGCTCGCGGGCTGCTAGGGGCCGCAAAGCGACTAGCAGGGCGGCGGGCCGTTAGGGCAGGGTTGCAGGGCAGCTAGTGGATATAAATCATTCTAGATGAGTTGGGTGTGAACAACACGTGAAGATTGAACTAAAATAATATGTCACAATAAGAGAAATTATTTTTATGGAGAAGCTACACCTCACAAGATCACATGAAAGGCAGGTGTTGAGATCATTATTCAGAGTGTTGAATCAGTCACAGCCGGTTTCGAGGTCCTTGTTTACGCAGAGTGTGCAGCGTCGAAACTGTAGGGAAGAAGATACCAGAGCTAAAAACGATGCCATCGTTATTACCAATTCAAGCCACGTTCTTCTCATTCTTAGAATCCACACCTCGTTTGGCGCCGTCGCGGTTCGGTGTAGACTCTCGCCACAAGCAACTGAGGGGCGAGGCTCGTTTCCAATTGGCTATTGCGTGTCACGAAACTAGAGTCAACCAGCCATGCTACGCTCACATATCGAGCACGCGGTGCCGCTGCATTCACCAGTGCGAGCAAGCGCAACTTCTCCATCCGTGCCGCAGTGGGACTGCCCCAGCCACAAACCTTTCAACCTTGTCATCCCCAGGGCTAAAACTGTTGCCCAATGATTGGTTGGACTGAAGGCCAGGCGAATAGCCTTGGAAAGTCCGTCTGCGAAGAAATCGTTTTTCTTCGTCATTTCGTCTACAGGAGGTGTTTTTTGGTGGGGGTAACAGCTTGGTCGGAAGTTGGTTTGTACAACCCGTTACCCAACCCCTTCACGCATCCCCCGATTGCCCTTGTCAACCAGGTTTTGCAGCTTGCTTTGACCAGCATAGGTAGCCCACAGATAGAAAACAGCTTCAATTCCCGACCACCCTTGATATTGATGTTTCCTAGCATCACAACCAGGCGCCATTTCTACGTAGTCGGACCTTCCGAGACAGGTGCTGTTAAGCCGAGCTTCTATTTTCCTGGAAAATGTTGTGACATTGTTTTGGCTTTCCTGGTTGCAGCTTCGCCTGTTTATGCTGTCAGCAGAAATGGAATCCAGTAGTAAGGGAAAAGGGGATGGCAACGGAGAGCAAGTAGGCTTTTGTAGAATATGCTTAGAGAGCAGTCCGTTACCGACACGTCAAGAGACAGGCCTTTCAGCGATATTCAACTGCGGTTTATCGTCGTCCGACGACAGCCTGATTTCGCCATGTGCCTGCACTGGTATTTCTCTAAAATTCTAGCCCATGCGTCCGGTGCTGTTGCGAGCATCAACAAAATACAAAGTTTGATGAAAACCTGATTGTTTTCCTTTGACTATCTTACATAATAGAGACTGAATTTCCTCAATGCCGGCTTTCTCGCGAAGTTTGTTAATTGTGATTTCTGGTTGGGGTCTTGACTCAGGTTTTTTACGTTTCGCTGATCTTTGTAAAGAAGGAATAAGAAAGTGATTTCTGGTTATGAAAATCACGTCCTGTAATAGTTGAAAGTGCATCGAAGCTGCTCAACCTTCCGCATTGCATGAATTTCACCTCGTTGTTTTAACATTCAACCGCTCATGCAGGCACTCAAGCGTATGTGCATCTTGCGTGTTTAAGAAGATGGCAATGGGCTGTGATGGCATCTCGGCATCCAGGAACCAACTACACTCCGGCGCTCGTGTCAGTGGTTTTCACTATTTTCTGTCTTCGAGATACTGATCTAGCCTTGCCATCGCGTGTCTCTGTTGCGCTTATGATTTTCGTTTCCCTGATATGATTCTCATGTCATGTCCACTTGCAACTGTACAGATGTTCCGTCTGCACACAACGCTTCTCGGTAGCGCCTCCCCGTTTATCAGTAGGTCTCAGACTGCTTCGCCTGATCGAGTTCTACTCGCGCGAACTCACAGGCTTCTTCGTCTTCCTGGTATGCTTCAGGTTTATGATGCTAACTCCACTTCATGCAAAAATCATTTCAAAAGCTCTACCTTGGCACTTATTGCGCCTGGCACCCATTGTTATCGTGCAGATTACCTGCTACGTCTTGTTGGTGTTTCACATGGAGTTCGCCTCACTCATTTTTCAGCTCCACTCTCTACTCCACACCATTTCCAGGTTCGTTGATAGGTAGGCTGAAAATGAACCGTTTTGCGGAATGGTGTGTCGGTTAACCACTGCAGGCTTTTTTTTGCAAAGCCAAAGCAACAGTTACTGATCAAGCCAATCTCGACCCAACGGCATGATAAGATCACACTCGACTCTGCTGAAATTAATCCGCTGCACAAGCAAATGAATTTATGCGGCCCTTGGACCGCAACAACCGGATGCTCGGTGATAATAATGCCATGTTACTTGTTCTCCCAACGCAACTACCAACAGAACTCTCTGGCGTGAAGGCGCATCCGTTTCCGTACATCCTGGAATGCTTTTGGTTGCCTCTCCCTCCATGCCAATGGCAGCCTCCATCTTTTATCAATCAGTGGTACGATCCTCAGTTGTCTTGGCTCTCCTTCGTATTGCTATTCAATTTAAGTTCCTCCTTTCTCACTAGCTTCTGTCTTATCTGTGTGCTATCCGAAATGAATGCAGGTGCTGTTGTATGACTACCATCCGTCAGTCGGAATAAGTGGCATTGTTATCAACAAGCCCATGCAGGTGCGTCCCATTCATTTACTTCGTTCCAGACCCTTCGTGATGGATTTGTGTCACCTTTAACACTCGTAAATGTTATGCAGGATGATGAAATAGGGTCACACCTCCTGGACCTTCCTAAGTCCGTCCAACGATCCTTAGCCCAGAATCAGCTCAACCTTGCGTGGGGAGGGCCAATCGGACAGTCTGACTGGCTGCTGCTTGAACGCTGTCCATGCTGCGCCATGCCAGCGCGAGCAAGACGAATATGCTGTCGCTGCTCCTGTGCGAAGCTCAGCCATGCTCGCAGCCCTGATGGAGGCTGGTCGCGCCAAGTCCTGCCAGGCCTGATCATTGGCTCCGACCTATCCTCCATACAGATGCTTCCCAGGGAACGAAAACCTGAGATTTCAGATCCGACAGTCAATGTTCGGTGCTTTCTAGGTCGGACGCACATTGAGCTGGAATCGAATTCCACGAATTACGTTTTAGTTGGCCGGGCAGGCTGGCAGCCTGGGCAGCTGGAGGCGGAGATTCGAGCAGGGTGGTGGTTGGTGAGGGCAGATGAAGCAGTTGCGGCAATGTCTCTGCCCGTGGAAGAGATGTGGAGAATGCTTTCGTTGGCTCGACCTCAGGATGAGAAGCCAGATGGTTCTAGTCCGTGGTCGGAGCGAAGCGGGAATGAGGATGATGATACTTGGAAGTTGCAGTGAGGGAATATGCTCCTGGTGCCTGCTTCCTGCATGTGATGGTTCTGCATTGTGCCACTCAAGCTGTGGCTTCGCGTTGATCCAAATGGCAAGGATCTGCATTGTTTTGCTATGTTTGCTTTCTGTAGGAGGAAGTGCCTGTCAGCCATGTGGCCCAAGCAATGTCTCTTTGCTTGCTGCTGCTCAATGTCAGTAAAGCATTTTTTGAATCTGCCACAAAGAACAGAAGACTGGTGTATCATGGATGAAAATACATGCGCACTGCCCAGTATGCATTTTGCAAAGCCTGGATTGCCTGAGAGAATCGTGTGCTTAAAGCCAGGTTAGGAAGGTGAGTGTGCGGCACTCACGTTTTTGCCCCTGAGCAAATGCCAAACAAATTGCTGGTACATGAGATTGTTGGGGTGCGACAAGAAATTGCTGGTATTGGAGCTTCGTCCAAACCAGCTTCCGTGCCTCCCTGGTTCGGATACCAACTTGCACCCCTCGCTTCAGATTATCCACCTTGCTAACCAAACCTGAAGCTCCCCACACCAACTGCAAAGCAATTGAACTAATTGAGATCCTGGCTTCAACGGGCTTCATTATTCAAACGTCCCTAAAATGAGTACATTTTGTAACATCAAGGATAGCGTTGCTGGTAGGGTGGTGGTGGTTGAGGTGGAGGGGGTCCATGCCCCATCCCCTGACCTCCATATTGCCCATGACCAAACTGCCCCATAGGACCCCCCCCATGAAACCCATCCCCTAAGCCACCAACACCCATGTCCCCCCCAGGCCCATACCCAGGTCTGCCCATGCCCCCTTCCCCACCCATCCCTACGTCCATCCCATATCCCATCCCTCCACCCATGCCACCCATGGGGCCTGCTCTACCCCCTCCCTCAAAACTGCCCTGCCCAGAATAACCCCCACCTGGCCCCCCACCTCCTCCCATGCCTGGGTGTGCCAATCCTCCAGGCCCGGCGCTTCCTGGGCCTGGCGGCAGATTCGGTGGGTGCCCATGGAGTGGTGGCATGGAGTGAGCATGAGGAGGGGGAGGCGCGTGGGGAGGGAGGGAAGGTGGAGGGCCGGAGGAGGAGAGGGAGTGTGAGGCATGAGGGTGGTGGAACTGCCGCTGCTGATGCTGCTGGTACTGCTGGCCCTGCTGCTGGTACGGCTGCTGGTATTGTTCCTGAAACTGCTGCTGCTGCTGCTGGTAGGAGGGGCGTCTGTCGGAAGGAGGGAAGGGCTGGGTGCTGTGGGACTGGGAGTGCTGGTGCCGCCGCTGCTGCTGCTGCTGCTGCTGCTGCTGTGGGCGTGGCGTGTGGCGCGAACCAGATGAGGGAGGCGCAGAGGTAGGCCGTGGCGCTGATGGGGGCGGCTCCTTAGCAGGTGGGGGTCCTGGTGTTGGGGACAAGAGAGCGAGGGGGGGGGTTCAAAACTCGCTCACACTCACGCACACACACACAATCACTAACTCACACTCAATCCTAACCACAATCACACTCACTGACACCCACACACTCGTTCGCACTCACTCACAATCCCACTCACACTCCCCCACACCCACACTCACCGGCGTAACCAGGAGTGGCAGCGGCAGCAGCAGCAGGGGCAGCGGTGTTAACGAGGTGACTTTTGAGTCGACTCAAAAGTAACCCAGGGGATCTTTGACAGCATCGCCTACCCAGGGGATCTTTGACAGCATCGCCTACCAAGGGGATCTTTGACAGCATCGCCTACCCAGGGGATCTTTGACAGCATCGCCTACCCAGGGGATCTTTGACAGCATCGCCTACCCAGGGGATCTTTGACAGCATCGCCTACCCAGGGGATCTTTGACAGCATCGCCTACCCAGGGGATCTTTGACAGCATCGCCTACCCAGGGGATCTTTGACAGCATCGCCTACCCAGGGGATCTTTGACAGCATCGCCTACCCAGGGGATCTTTGACAGCATCGCCTACCCAGGGGATCTTTGACAGCATCGCCTACCCAGGGGATCTTTGACAGCATCGCCTAACCAGGGGATCTTTGACAGCATCGCCTACCCAGGGGATCTTTGACAGCATCGCCTACCCAGGGGATCTTTGACAGCATCGCCTACCCAGGGGATCTTTGACAGCATCGCCTACCCAGGGGATCTTTGACAGCATCGCCTACCCAGGGGATCTTTGACAGCATCGCCTACCCAGGGGATCTTTGACAGCATCGCCTACCCAGGGGATCTTTGACAGCATCGCCTACCCAGGGGATCTTTGACAGCATCGCCTACCCAGGGGATCTTTGACAGCATCGCCTACCCAGGGGATCTTTGACAGCATCGCCTACCCAGGGGATCTTTGACAGCATCGCCTACCCAGGGGATCTTTGACAGCATCGCCTACCCAAGGGATCTTTGACAGCATCGCCTACCCAGGGGATATTTGACAGCATCGCCTACCCAGGGGATCTTTGACAGCATCGCCTACCCAGGGGATCTTTGACAGCATCGCCTACCCAGGGGATCTTTGACAGCATCGCCTACCCAGGGGATCTTTGACAGCATCGCCTACCCAGGGGATCTTTGACAGCATCGCCTACCCAGGGGATCTTTGACAGCATCGCCTACCCAGGGGATCTTTGACAGCATCGCCTACCCAGGGGATCTTTGACAGCATCGCCTACCCAGGGGATCTTTGACAGCATCGCCTACCCAGGGGATCTTTGACAGCATCGCCTACCCAGGGGATCTTTGACAGCATCGCCTACCCAGGGGATCTTTGACAGCATCGCCTACCCAGGGGATCTTTGACAGCATCGCCTACCCAGGGGATCTTTGACAGCATCGCCTACCCAGGGGATCTTTGACAGCATCGCCTACCCAGGGGATCTTTGACAGCATCGCCTACCCAGGGGATCTTTGACAGCATCGCCTACCCAGGGGATCTTTGACAGCATCGCCTACCCAGGGGATCTTTGACAGCATCGCCTACCCAGGGGATCTTTGACAGCATCGCCTACCCAGGGGATCTTTGACAGCATCGCCTACCCAGGGGATCTTTGACAGCATCGCCTACCCAGGGGATCTTTGACAGCATCGCCTACCCAGGGGATCTTTGACAGCATCGCCTACCCAGGGGATCTTTGACAGCATCGCCTACCCAGGGGATCTTTGACAGCATCGCCTACCCAGGGGATCTTTGACAGCATCGCCTACCCAGGGGATCTTTGACAGCATCGCCTACCCAGGGGATCTTTGACAGCATCGCCTACCCAGGGGATCTTTGACAGCATCGCCTACCCAGGGGATCTTTGACAGCATCGCCTACCCAGGGGATCTTTGACAGCATCGCCTACCCAGGGGATCTTTGACAGCATCGCCTACCCAGGGGATCTTTGACAGCATCGCCTACCCAGGGGATCTTTGACAGCATCGCCTACCCAGGGGATCTTTGACAGCATCGCCTACCCAGGGGATCTTTGACAGCATCGCCTACCCAGGGGATCTTTGACAGCATCGCCTACCCAGGGGATCTTTGACAGCATCGCCTACCCAGGGGATCTTTGACAGCATCGCCTACCCAGGGGATCTTTGACAGCATCGCCTACCCAGGGGATCTTTGACAGCATCGCCTACCCAGGGGATCTTTGACAGCATCGCCTACCCAGGGGATCTTTGACAGCATCGCCTACCCAGGGGATCTTTGACAGCATCGCCTACCCAGGGGATCTTTGACAGCATCGCCTACCCAGGGGATCTTTGACAGCATCGCCTACCCAGGGGATCTTTGACAGCATCGCCTACCCAGGGGATCTTTGACAGCATCGCCTACCCAGGGGATCTTTGACAGCATCGCCTACCCAGGGGATCTTTGACAGCATCGCCTACCCAGGGGATCTTTGACAGCATCGCCTACCCAGGGGATCTTTGACAGCATCGCCTACCCAGGGGATCTTTGACAGCATCGCCTACCCAGGGGATCTTTGACAGCATCGCCTACCCAGGGGATCTTTGACAGCATCGCCTACCCAGGGGATCTTTGACAGCATCGCCTACCCAGGGGATCTTTGACAGCATCGCCTACCCAGGGGATCTTTGACAGCATCGCCTACCCAGGGGATCTTTGACAGCATCGCCTACCCAGGGGATCTTTGACAGCATCGCCTACCCAGGGGATCTTTGACAGCATCGCCTACCCAGGGGATCTTTGACAGCATCGCCTACCCAGGGGATCTTTGACAGCATCGCCTACCCAGGGGATCTTTGACAGCATCGCCTACCCAGGGGATCTTTGACAGCATCGCCTACCCAGGGGATCTTTGACAGCATCGCCTACCCAGGGGATCTTTGACAGCATCGCCTACCCAGGGGATCTTTGACAGCATCGCCTACCCAGGGGATCTTTGACAGCATCGCCTACCAAGGGGATCTTTGACAGCATCGCCTACCCAGGGGATCTTTGACAGCATCGCCTACCCAGGGGATCTTTGACAGCATCGCCTACCCAGGGGATCTTTGACAGCATCGCCTACCCAGGGGATCTTTGACAGCATCGCCTACCCAGGGGATCTTTGACAGCATCGCCTACCCAGGGGATCTTTGACAGCATCGCCTACCCAGGGGATCTTTGACAGCATCGCCTACCCAGGGGATCTTTGACAGCATCGCCTACCCAGGGGATCTTTGACAGCATCGCCTACCCAGGGGATCTTTGACAGCATCGCCTACCCAGGGGATCTTTGACAGCATCGCCTACCCAGGGGATCTTTGACAGCATCGCCTACCCAGGGGATCTTTGACAGCATCGCCTACCCAGGGGATCTTTGACAGCATCGCCTACCCAGGGGATCTTTGACAGCATCGCCTACCCAGGGGATCTTTGACAGCATCGCCTACCCAGGGGATCTTTGACAGCATCGCCTACCCAGGGGATCTTTGACAGCATCGCCTACCCAGGGGATCTTTGACAGCATCGCCTACCCAGGGGATCTTTGACAGCATCGCCTACCCAGGGGATCTTTGACAGCATCGCCTACCCAGGGGATCTTTGACAGCATCGCCTACCCAGGGGATCTTTGACAGCATCGCCTACCCAGGGGATCTTTGACAGCATCGCCTACCCAGGGGATCTTTGACAGCATCGCCTACCCAGGGGATCTTTGACAGCATCGCCTACCCAGGGGATCTTTGACAGCATCGCCTACCCAGGGGATCTTTGACAGCATCGCCTACCCAGGGGATCTTTGACAGCATCGCCTACCCAGGGGATCTTTGACAGCATCGCCTACCCAGGGGATCTTTGACAGCATCGCCTACCCAGGGGATCTTTGACAGCATCGCCTACCCAGGGGATCTTTGACAGCATCGCCTACCCAGGGGATCTTTGACAGCATCGCCTACCCAGGGGATCTTTGACAGCATCGCCTACCCAGGGGATCTTTGACAGCATCGCCTACCCAGGGGATCTTTGACAGCATCGCCTACCCAGGGGATCTTTGACAGCATCGCCTACCCAGGGGATCTTTGACAGCATCGCCTACCCAGGGGATCTTTGACAGCATCGCCTACCCAGGGGATCTTTGACAGCATCGCCTACCCAGGGGATCTTTGACAGCATCGCCTACCCAGGGGATCTTTGACAGCATCGCCTACCCAGGGGATCTTTGACAGCATCGCCTACCCAGGGGATCTTTGACAGCATCGCCTACCCAGGGGATCTTTGACAGCATCGCCTACCCAGGGGATCTTTGACAGCATCGCCTACCCAGGGGATCTTTGACAGCATCGCCTACCCAGGGGATCTTTGACAGCATCGCCTACCCAGGGGATCTTTGACAGCATCGCCTACCCAGGGGATCTTTGACAGCATCGCCTACCCAGGGGATCTTTGACAGCATCGCCTACCCAGGGGATCTTTGACAGCATCGCCTACCCAGGGGATCT